CGCTTGATTTTGAATTCTAGAAATTTCTTAGTTTTTGAGATTCACACAAACAATTTCGTGCTGAAAATTTGAATTTCAAGATAAAGTAACCTGAACGACTCAAAACATGTTTCTTATAGGTTTTCGACAATGCTCTTTCCAGTGGCATCGTTTTTAAATATTGAGAAAGTTTTCTGAAGGGTTTTTGAAAGATCGGATCTCTGGAAAACTCCTTAGAAAACCTTTTCAAAATCCAACTCTCATGCCATTAGAAAGACGATCATAAAAAACCTATAAAAAAAATGGTTCATGAAATTTTAGTTCACTCATAAAGCTAAAGTCCGCCTGCTCTAGCAAAAAATGCCCACTGTGTCCTCTCTTCTTGTGTGCAAACATAATCTGCGATACTTTGAGCATTTGTTTTGTTCTGTACTGTCACATGTAGTATACAGAGTAACATAAATATTCTCCATTAATTTATAAAAAATTAATTTCTCTATTACTAATGTTTATATTTTTAGACTCCAGCACAAAAGCCATATTTGGATGCAATAAGAGCTACGCTTCAAGCAGCATTTTGTATTGAAAATTTCGAGTCACAAATTGTTGAAAGGCATAATAAACCAGAAGTGGAAGTTAAGTAAGTTCTTCTTTATTTAGTGTGTTCGAATTTTTTATTGGTGTTTTAATAGATCTTCTAAACAATTATTATTAAATCCAGTTATTATTAGTCGTAATGATAGAGAACGAGTTTTAATTGAAGGCTCTGTTAATTCTGTTCGCTTGAGTATTGCAGTTAAACAGGTTAACAAGACAAACGATGTCGTCGAATGAAACGATGTTTATTATGATTTTATTGTTTTAGTCAGATGATCTTGAAAAGATATTGTGTAAACGCTTGATGCGTTTCATGATGCAACGTGCAGATGATTTTCATATTTTACGTCGAAAAACTGTTCCTGTAAGTAGCTATCAGTATTCTCCTTTTATAAGTTCGAAATTTAGAAAAAACTGTCTTGTTTTTTATTCTAGGATTATGATATTAGTTTTTTGATAACAAATTTTCATGCTGAAACAATGTACAAACATCGTCTAGTTGATTTTGTGATACATTTTTTAGAAGAAATAGACAAGGAAATAAGTGAAATGAAATTAGCTGTTAGTTCGAGAGCACGTCTGTGTGCTGAAGAATTTTTGAAAAAATTTAATTAAGATTAAATACGAGAAATAGAAAAATGAACGCAGTATCGTTATCGAACAGTGTTTTCAAAGAAAAAACTGAACTAGAATGACATTTTTGTAATTTTTTTCGCTTTGCTTTTTCTGTGTATGCAAACCGTATAAGTAATTACGATGAAGTGTGACATTTTTCTGTATGAATAAGACTATGTTTTCCGAATATGATCGTTGTTAATAGCTTTGAACTATAATCTCCTCTCGATAGATTGCTGATTAACTGCATTTCTTTTGTACAATTGTTAAACGATGTTTACTGATTTTTTTGAATATATTCAATTATGTGCCTTTCATTTTGTTTGTTGAGTTTTTTGAAACACATTGAGAAAATGTTTCTCAATTTTCTATAGATGTTACGTGTTCGTGCTTCTTTCTTTATTTAATTTTAAATTTCGTGTACAGATGTTTTGTTTTTGTTTATTTCTTTTCGTTATACATTTAGAAAATGAATAGAATAATTTTGTTATTAATAACTGATTTACTTTTCTTTAAACTAAAATATTAGCGATAGTTTATGCACTAAAATATCTTCTAATTGAATAGAAAACGTATTTTGATGGGCATTATATCATTTTATCATAGAAGTCACGTGTTTTATTTATTTTGATTGAAATAGATGGCAGCCATTGTAGTGTCTGTTGTATTGATTGGTATTATTCTTTGGTATTCAATTCCAGAATCAGGTAAGCGATCAAACTGTTAAAGCAAAAAGAGGTATGATTTACTTCATTTAATCCTTTTTTTTAAGGATTGTTTAAATGGCATCCATCATCGATGGCTATAGGAGTAAGTACATCTTCATGAACGTTTGATATATGATATATTCAGATACCGAAAGAAATTCGATTCTGATACATGAAAACGGCTGTTGATTTTTAACATTATTTTTCTCTTTAGTATTTGGGTCTCATGTTTCACGCTATATTTATCTTTTCCCCAAATTCTTTATTTTCATTAACACGTAAGAAACAAATTTTAGTCCATTGGACATTACAAACACTAGCAATTATATGTTCAACTATTGGTTTTTGGACTATTTACATCAATAAACAATCCCGCAATAAACCTCATTTTACAACATGGTAGATAAGCAAGTTTTTTATGAACATACACTCTGATGTCATTAATATTTTTTTAGGCACGGTTTAATTGGTTTGATTACATTCATTTGGTCATTCTTACAAGCATTCACTGGCTTATTTCTTACAGTGTTTCAACGTCAATTACATTATTTAAGATTATCTTATGCTCAGTTACGTTTATATCATGCAACATCTGGTATTTTTCTTTTCACCTTGGGATGTATTGAGATCGTCTTAGGTCTTGCATCAAACTGGTTCAAATCAAAATTTTCAGACAGTACAATTATATCATCGGTATTATGGTATTTTATGGCATCAGCTGTTTTTTTTCTTGCCCATAAAAATGTTGAACATATTACGAACAAATATGTACGAAGAAAAATGTCAGTAGAATCCAGGAAATAATCTTTACGAAAAGCTAAAACGATGATTGTATCTAGTCACTTTTTCTGTCATTTAACAGTCGAACGAATTTTCTTTGCATGTAGTGTTTTGTTACTATTTTTTGGTTGAATCTGCCGCCTGTTGTTTTGCTTTTATCAACTCTGAAAGACTTGTGGTGCTTTTCATTTCTATGAAAACTGTTATGATTGTTTTTTATTTGTTAAACTTATCTCATAGAGTGTTCTGTTTCCTACTTATGTACCGTTTGTTTGAATAATCAATCTGCTTATTATACTGGCAGTTATTATTTACGTGATAACGTCTTCCCACCTAATGAAATCAAACTATTATTTATCAATGTTGTTATTTATATCGTTCTACTTAGTTTTTTTGAAATTATTTGCATAATTGTACGCAGCACTTTATACAATTGTATTCGATAAATAAAAGTTTAAAACTTTGGAACTTTGGAAGATTTTGTATAAGATAGAATGACATCTTGTAGTAAAAGCTTTTCAACAAGAAGACAGACAAATGTCTGTTCTGTCGATCAGTCTTATACTTTAACTTTCTTCAAACGTTTGATTCTACATCACAATGATCAAAAAGTGATTTTGAGAATGGTTTGTAGTTGATGCGAGAGAGTGTGAAGATCGAACAGTCAAAAACTCTTGTTTCTTATATGAAAAGATGCAATAATCAATTCTCTTTAAAACTACATTAAGTTTTATAGGATATAATCTTAATTTAACAATACAAAACAGAGTATCATCACTAAAGACATCCAAAATTTTAAAACGGCTAGGATTACAAGAATCGAAATACATTTTATTAAGATTAAAAGAAAATGATCAAATATCAAATGAAAGTGACGAGATGAATGATAGTGATGGTATGATGGAATTAGGTCTCATTCAA